AATAAATAGACAAGTTTATCAGTTCTAAATCTTAAATTAAGTGTAGGAAATAGGAACAACAGAAAATAAGTTCACATGGAGATCAATAATGTAGAAGGCGTATGATAATTATAATAATGCATTTCTCTCTCTCTCGTTTCATTGTCTCTCTTTCTGAAACGATATAATTAACAGTTATCCTATTCACTCCAGCTGTAAAGTCACTATCATGAATAAAATACGATACAGATAATGTTATCAATGCAATGACTTTAACAGCTTCTTTAAAAATATGTGTTTCCTTCTTGATTATTGAAAAACGGGCATTTTCATAAGATGGTCTCACATCTTTAAAGGGATTAACTAAAAAATCTATGCATTATTATGAAATGAAATGAAACAAAATACAACTAGCTAGGAGACTAAATGTGATTTTTACATTTCTTTTTTAAAGAAATTAAAATATCAAAAATAAAATCAAATGACTATCCTCTTTCGGCTGGTTCATCATTATTGCTGCCAAATTAATCCATCAAAAAGGTACTTTTCAATTAAGAAAGCTAGAAACAATTGATAGGATGGGGAACCATGACATGAATGTATTGCAAAATCCTCCACCTTTACATTAAGTCATTTAATTTGTTGTTTTTATTAATGATTAACTTTTGTTTTCTGAATGTTTTTCTGGCTACATCGGACATCTCCCACCGAGGTAAACTCACCATTATAGTATTGAGCCAACCAGAGGGAGAGATAAATCACTCTGAACCTTAGGTCATGTGCCGATGAGCGGATATTCACACAATAAAGGCCAAGATTTTTAACGTGTGTGTATGTGTATATATATATATATATATATATATATATATATATATATATATATTTATGTGTGTGTGTGTGTACAAACCCTAAACGCTAAACTTAGAGACAAAAATCGAAAACAAAATATAAACTAATGCAAACTAATCTAAACGCTATAAGTACAAATTAACCCTTAGTTGGTCTAAGAATAACATATGGAATGGTTATGAAGTTGAATATATTGTCTGCATAACTACCATGTTTCGTATAGTAAAATTATAAATATATGCTATAAAAGTTCATGGAGTTCCACTTCAAAATCAATTGGTAATGAAGGGAGTTATATTGATACAAAGTCTCTCACAGTACCGATATAAGACAAACATAACTTGGAATTTCATTATATGCGACTTGCAGTTTGCAGGGAATATATTACATCGTCAAAAGGTAAGAATTACTGGGTTCATTTGAAAGATATGCCTTTTGCAAATGGATAGATTCTCGAGTCACAATTAAAGAGCATTTCTGAAGAGAATTTTAAGAATGACTTAATGTTACGGGAAAAAAAATTTTTTAGTAAGCAAAAACCAATCATGACTTTTAAGAATCGATAATTAAAAGTAAAATAAGTTGCAAAAATTAAAGAAGTAGTACATATCTTATGGCTTCAGTGCAAGGAAAGGTCAGTTTAAATTGAGCTCAGCCAATCATGGAACTAAAAGGTCGACGTCCGTTTAACCTGGTTTTTGTTGTGCCCGAAATAGATTTTTGTGTTTTTTTTTTCTCCTCTCTTTGTAGTGCTCCAAATGGGTTGATCAATACTTGGTTAGGAGGGTTGTCCTTATCAGCACGATTAATAATTATAATAACTCTGAAATACAGGAATTATTTTATTTATTACATAAATAATGGCGGTAGATATCAGTCAATTCATGTCACTATATACAATAGTATGTTTTGTTAAAAAGAAGTATCGTGCAAAACTTAATTTATTTTTTTTGTATTTTTTCATGTTCTAAAATAAAAGTCATATTTATTTTGTTATTTTAGTTCACAAAATGCTAAAAAATAAGGATGAGAAGAGTTCTCCCCTACGTAGAAAAACATAATTACCCAATAACGTTTAAATCCGACCTTGTAATAATGACAATCTACTCGTAATGTGAAACTTAATTATTTGAAAATGGAAATTAAAATGAGAATAGATTTAGAATCTGATTTAACTATTGATGTGATGATGACAATAGGTGAAATATATATATCTGAGACGGGGGTAATCAAACCCTCAACTTTATATCCACCATCTTCATGGCAAGCATACCTAAAGATAATATTTGATTTGTTCTTTCATAGAAGTGATGTCTCAATCGTTTAGGTTAATTTGCAAGTCTTAAACATTATCACATGAAACTTTTTGTTGCATGCTTTTGTACATAATCGTATGAATACATCTTCAGAGATTGAAAAAATATACATATATTGCCCAATTGCTTTTATTTATATTTAGCCAATCAATTAAAGTATGACTATTTTAACCAAATTGGGAAGTTTAGATACCTGAAAAATATTAGTGGCGGCTTTTTCTTATTCAATTCTTAAAAATAATATAGAGCAAACTAATTGGCCTATCAAATAAATGATGAAAGTGGTTAGGCAAAAAGAAAGACATTCCACTGTACGATAATGTTCGAACATGTGTTAACCAATTGGATGTTTGTTCTGTTGTCTTTCCTAAAACACCAATAAAAACAAAATTTTGAGATGATTAGGTACAAAATAATGCAGTTAAATTACCCCCAAAAAAAAGCAAGAATAAATGAATGACAACTTGATCGAATGCAGAAGGGTATTTTGTTTGATTTGACCCTCAATTGCATTTTTATCTGCAAGAGGAGTTTATGTTGATAAATTACCAAAAGTACAGCCTGTTTCTATGTAGGACAAGAGGCTAGAGCTCGTTTGGATTTTCCAAACGTTAAAGTTTGACATAACGGTGAAAATTGTAATTAGTTGGTCGTTCAAATTTGAAAGGGAAAAAAGATTCACAAGTAATTTTATTCGTACATCAAACTTATATTGTAAGCTTGCCGTCTAACAACAATTTATTCGGGGTAAAAAAAAAAGCATAAATAAAATCTCAATTTATTGACTCGGTACTCTTTTTATTTCATTTTAATAATTTTTAAATTGAATTAAAACAGCATAACAATTTAATGTATTTTTTAAACTAAAAGACACATGCAAATGCTTGGTGGAGAAAGCGTATAATATTCCAGAGGCATTTCTGGACTCGATCGATCTGGGGAGCCTAGTTTAGATTTATAACTTGCCACCCATTATTTATTTATTAGTCTTAATTTTGTTTTAAATTAAAAAGAAGAAGAAGAAGAAGAAAAGTTAATGGCCTCGAATCTATAATGATCAGTGTAATTAAATAGTATGATTTCATAGTATGTATGATTCCTTTATCTCAAAATTATTTTTATATCTTAACGGATTAAAATATGTTATAATTTCAGTACCCTAGCTAGCACTCAACGCAAATATGTTCTTAAAATTTAGTTCTCTTTGTCCCTTGTTTTACATTTTCTTTTGGATATTGGAGTACCCTACCCAAGTACTGAATATCATTCACATTCAGCCACTCATCTAATTCCTGAAATTTTTGCAATTCACTTCGTTGGGTTTAAAAAAAAAAAAAGCCCTCATGCATGAAACGGCGTGGCAAGGTTAATAAGATTATAGATTGTTATTACCGTGAAGTCGCGGTTTAAATTAAGTCTTGCTTAAATAAGCCAATAATGGAAAGGAAATCATTGTAACGTGAATCGTACCCTCATGGAAAAGAGTGATTAAACCAATCTTTCAAGCTATAGTTACTTCTTTTTCTATTCTTTAGTTGAGAAAATCTTAAGGAAAGAGATTTCGTGTCTAGTTCACGGGTTGTATCAGAAATTAAGCTATTAGTAACTTATATTGATTCGCATTTATGAACTAAATATGAACTAATATTGAAATAACGTTCTTATAATTTATTGAACTTTGTCCCGGGCTCCAAACTCCCAAGGATTTCCATGTCCCCTAGTCTAGTTTGCGCCAGAGTCTCAGCCCAACCTTGTGGTTATCACAAGTCATTTAGTTCGGTTCATAGGTTAACCAGTTTCAACGAAAAAGATTATTATGAAATTTTTATTTGAGTTAGTGAGGTATTTCATGTCCAAACCAAAATCAGAGGGAAAAAAATTTGAATTCTTTCAATGCTTTTGCAGCCATGCAGTGTATAATTGGCCACCAAACATAAACTTCTTCGCAAAAAAACTAAAAATTTAATTTAATTTAAGATAACTAAAATTAATTAGGGCAAAAAAGTAAATAACCCGTTAGTTAATTAGTTAATGCTTTTGTCCCAATTAATATGTTAGGAAGGTTAATAGTCGCTGATATGTTATGATTGTAACTTTCAATAGAGTTATTATGAAGATTAATATTTATTTGTCTCAGTTAATTTAGTTTATGTAAAAAATTACAATTCTACTTTACAAAATTACCATTAAATGATGGAGTGATGTGGTTGCGACATGTGGACTTGTGTGTCTAATCTTGCGCCACGTGGATTAGCCTATTTAAATTTACGCCATGCGTCCGATTGAAAATTCTCCTTTAATATATTGGAGATATATATATATATATATATCTTATTATATAAGAAACAAAAACCACACTTCAAAGAGCTCCCCTTCAATTGCCACATGGCATTTTTACTTCATTAATTGCCATTAATTGGTATTAATAAATTAACAGATTTCCATAATGCCCTCCAGAATGCACACCACGTGCTCTTCTGTTTTCTTTCCTTTTTCAAATTCTCACTCCTCAATTACAGTACAGAAGAGTAAATTATATTACTTCTTATTCCACAACTGATGAGATTGCTCTTCAGTCCTTTTCATTTTCGATTCTTCTTCAAAAATCTTGCACGTTCTCGGGCACCACCACTCCGCCTTGCTCGGGCACCTCCGTCGCAAACCATTTTCTCCCGTGCCAGAGCCCAGATTGCCACTTTCCATCTATTCTAACATAGAATGGGAAACAAACCTTCTATAGGCATCTATTGTAACAGAATTCAATTGAATCCTACCTTAATCCATAAGCTTTCATTGATTTCTTCAATTGAATCCCATTTTCAATTCATTTCTTTCGATTTGGTTACTTTTCCAAGTATGGGAATGGACTACTCAGTTCCGAAGCTTCAGTGGTCGTTGCAAACGAGCTCGAAGTTTCTGCACTTGGGCACTTTGGTGAATACTCATGGAGCCATTGACAATAGTGTTATGCAGCAACAACACCCACGTGGCAGTAGCACCGGCGACGAAAGCAGTACTGCGAATTTGAGAAAATTTGATTCGCCGGAGCTCTGCCCTTTGCCGCCGCTTTACGGTCACAGCAATGTTAGGCGAAATTACGGTAATGGTGATATGGGGTCCGCTACACAGCAATGTTAGGCAAAAAATAAAAAAACTCTTCTAGTACCGGAATATTTTGGGTAATATTTTGGGCTTAGGGTCCAGTAAGTGAATACAGTCCAAATAGAAATGTTTTTATCGGCTGATGTTTGACCAAAAGGAAAACAATAGTATTTTGTATGGAGCCCACTCTTTTTTTTAGAGTAGGAGTAATAGTATTTTGTACCGAGGTCAAACTCTTCCGGCAATACAGTCCTACTAATTTATCCCACTTTTTACAATAGGGCTACGCACTATGATCGCACTAATTTATATGGTGGTGAGTTCTTTTTTTTATCCCACTTTTGTATAGTATTTTGTATGATTTTGTATTGGGTGGGAAGGAATGATGTTCCTTTCAAACACCCCTATGATTGTCACGTGACATGAGGAGAGTACTAAATTGCCTTTTTGTCTAACCATAATTAAATTACTATAAAAACTCCCTTGCAAACACCTCCTACGATTGCTACGTGACATGAGGAAAGTATTAAATTGTCCTTTTGTTTAACCATAACTAAATTACTAAATCCCCCTTTGCACTTTACGTGACACGTTTTTTTTTAAATTTTTTCTTTATGTTTCATTTAATTAGAGTGGTTTTCTTTTCTTAATTATGGAGTATAAATTGAATTGATCAATTAGGTTTTTGTTACAAAGTGTCAATTTTATTTTAAGCGTATACCCTTCGGATGAAGCTTATTACAAAGCTATTAAAAATCTCCAAAACTAAGTATTGATTTGGCACGACCAATGGAGAACATCAATAAATCATCTTACTAATATTTAAACTTATTAAGATACTTTTATATTTTGTCTAACATTTACTTCAACACATATATTCGATTAAGTTTATTTATATTTAATAAGTAACACTTATAAAACATTTCTAAAACATACATGGCGAAATACAATTTCTTTTTTTTTTGTGAAATACAAATATTTCTATAATCACACTTATAAAATATTTCTAAATCCTTCAAACATTTCTAAAATATATCGCTCCAAATACAAAATTTTATTTTTTTTTCAAATATAAACATTTCTAAGATCTACAGATAGACTGGGTCGGGGTCGCGCATTGCGCGACCAGCCATCACTATATATATATATATATATATATGTATATATCAAAACAAAGTTGATCTTTACTGCACTCTTTGATATAGAATACACTTTGATCTTTATATTTTGCAATTGTCAAAATAATTACTCTCCTCTGGAAGGACTATTTTTTCAAGACAAAGAAAGTATTAAAAACAGAAATCTACCATAACAGCAATAACAGTGACTACTCTTCTTTTTTTTTTTCTTTTTTTTTTTTTGAGTAAACTATAGTGACTACTAATAATAAGAAAAATAATAACCATTTTTTTTTTTTACATACGAAGCGAAATGGCTTATTACACACAACCCAAAGGTCCAAAACACTACTACATTTACTATCCTGCGTGGTATATGAAAACGTTCACGTCAAACTGTGCAAAATGCACATTTGCCTCAAAAGTCAAAAATCTGCTACTCCCTCCGTCCCATAATTATTGTCCAGTTTGACTTTTTACTTTTAGTACAATTTAAATTAAAAACAAAAACTTAAACAGGACAATAATTATGGGACGGAAGAAGTACTAAATAAAACTCCTTATGCAACCAATTTTGGCAACATTTCCCAAAACGAAAATGTTACCAACATTTCGCAATGAGGAAGCGATTGAGCCCATAAAAAATTTTACAAAGTTAGCATGGGCTTTAAACTCTGGACCGAAAATTATGAAACCAATTATCAGCAGAATACCCATAATCCATTCCACCGCGCGTGTACACAACATGAAGAACTCGTCAAATCTGGACCGCCCAAACTCCAATAATCAGGAGATTCAGAGCCATCCGATTATGATCACAAAAACAAACAAAACATCAATCATCATTCTTTCTCCTTCGTCGTCAAAGCAGACTTTCTTCTTCTTCTCTTCGTATATAAAAAAAAAAAAAAAAAAAAATTCCCAGTCGTACGTTTCGGTGGGTATCTTTCGGAATCCCAATACAAATATACGAAACAGATCCTTCTTCATAGATCCTATCGGTCAAGAACAATCATAAAGAATCGCCCAAAGAACAATTGAACTCCTCTTTTGGATCATCTTAGGCCAAGAAGATAGCAGAATAAAATAGAATAAGGTATTTAATGATGATGGGGTCATAATTTGGTTTACCTACTTATGCCTGCTTTTGTTTTTTTTTATTCTGTGATGAAATGTTTTGATCGATATAAATTTTTTATCCGAATTTTGCAGAGGCGAGAAAGGGTCTTTTTTTTCTTTTCTGGGAATTTCGTGGGTTTTCTTTCTTGAGTGGGAAATAATGGCTGTTCCTTCGGATGAGGTTACCAGCATCTGCAGTCACTGGTAAGACTGATTCTGTTTGCTTTTTTTCTTTACTGTTCTGTAACCATTTCTTGAATTGGGTTTTTCTTTGTCGGTTATTTGAACTTTTGGGGTTACGCAATTTGGGAATTTTTTGGGGCCTGATCGGATTCTTGAATTGGTTGTCGTTTGCTTCTTTTTTGGAATGAATTAAATGTGAGGAATCTTGGTGGTGGGTGATCGAGTTATTATTATGATCGTATGTAAATTCCCGGATTGAACTGATACTATCTTGCGTTTTAGTAGTTTTAATTGCTGAAAGCTTGTTAGCTCATTGAAAATAACTTGGTGTGTTTCCATCTTGAGGGTTGTTTTGCTGTTAAATTGGGCTACTCTGATGATGTTTATTCGATTCCATGGTTTCTTTGAATTTTGATGTTGTTAGTTATGCAAAGTTTGATTTAAAAGAACTGTTTTCTTGAGGATTAATATGCATATGTTTGGTATTAATACCCTCGTGACCTTTAGTTTGCTCTCTTTTGGGGTAAAAAGGCTTAGCTAGAGTAGTAATTCTGCATGTTGGAATCTGGTACACTGGTGGATGAGTATACTTTCAATTATATGGTCTATACAGCTATAGTGATGTATGCATTACCATTTCGGTGTTGGACGACATAGAGAAAGATAGCCCTAAACAGAAGCTATGGTGAAAAGAGAATTTTATGTGAATAATCCCTCATAGGCAATAATGGTTGTCCAAATGAGTTTAGCAAATAGCCTTCGAATGTTATTTCATTGGCTTTCTCTTCCAGTCAATTATGCAAATTATATATTGTTGGACACCAATTTTTAAAGTCAGTTTCATGTTTGCTTGCATTAGATTTTGATCTATTTTCTGGTTCTAGATTCTGTCATTAGCCATAGTTTTCCTTCCTGAATGAGTGTAATTGCATAAGGAATTAATTTTTGAGAAGGATGTATCAACTATGATTGTCTTTTAATCTATATTAATCCGGTTCATCAAGTGATTCTTTACCATTCCTTTGCTGCCCTCTGAAAAGCAATTCAATTTTGAGTACAATAGATATTCAACCTGTTCTTGTTAGAAGACTTATTGTATTTGTTATTGATTTCTATTCGTGCAGTGATAGAGCTATACCATCTTTAAACATTGATTTGCACTTTGCTCACTGCTCCCGGAATTTGGAGAAATGTAAAGTCTGTGGTGACATGGTCCCTAGAAGATCTGCTGAAGAGCATTTCTTAACCACTCATGCTCCGGTAGGTTTCTGTATTTATATTCTTTTATTTCTCTACTGTAATCTGCTCCTGGCCTCCCACTTGGTGAGGTATAAGGAAATCCTAAAGAGTTACATTGAATCTAAAGGTATATCCCTTTGGGTTTACATTGGCATTTGCCTTTTCCTTGCTTTCAGTTTTGTCTCCTGTAATGATTTCATTTGAGAAATATTTGCAACTTTAAAATTTGAACTTATAGAACTTGAAGAGAAAAGCACTAAAAACTGACTTATTAGTTCTGTCCCTAAAGGAAATGATGAGACAATATGGTTTCATTTTCGTAGTAACAGTACATTACTAATTTTAGATTTTATATTCAGCTGATTGCTTTATATGTGGACCGTTTATGCTTGTGTCATGTAGAAATGATTTTGCCCTGGAACAGGTATCTTGTTCTCTTTGCAGTGAGACAATGGAACGTGAAGTTTTGGCCATTCACAAAGGTGAAAATTGTCCTCAGCGGATGGTTACATGCGAGTTCTGTGAATTCCCTCTGCCAGCTATTGATCTATTGGAGCATCAGGTGGGAATTTGTTTGATTGATTTTCAAGGTTATCATTTCATTTTATTTGACAAATTTTCTTTAGAAACTATAGGAACTCTCTGGAAATCATTTTGCTAAACAAATGTTTTTTGATAAGTACAGGAAGTCTGTGGAAACCGGACGGAGTTATGTTATCTGTGCAACCGATATGTTAGACTCCGTGAAAGGATTCTCCATGAGAGCAAATGCACTGGTGTTCCTGAAAATATTGCAGAATCTTCTAGGTAAAGCTAAACATATACTTCTTAATTAAATTGCTTAACTCTTATATCCATGAAGAAGTGTTACTTGCATATGTAAAATCTGTAAATATCACTTACAATGTTATGAACACTTGTGTAATTCATAACTAACTGAATGGATTTTAGAAGCAGACTGGTCTTATCAGGATTTCCATTCTCTAGGTCTCTTGTTCTTGATATGGTTAACTGCTTCTCCTTGCTTGAGTTTGACTACTTACTGTAGTGTGTTGCTATCTTATTCTCTTCCAATTTTGGCTTATTCCTTGTCGGATTTATGTCTAATTCCTACAAAGATGTATAATATTGAAATTGGTGGTTTATTTTTACCTAACCGTCTTGTGTTTATTCTTCTAAAGGTCGACAAGGCCAGCTGAGAGAAGAGACCGCAGTCCTCAGAGGAGGCAGCCAAATGAGTTCTCACGGAAGCGCCTGTTGTTTACTATTGCCATCACTGGCATTGCTGTACTTTTAGGTTCACTTCTTTTCCAGAGGAAATCAGACAACAGTCAGATGCACTAGCCGGTGGTGTAATTCTAGATTCATGTTGGCGGCTCTTAAACAGGCTCTGGTTTTTGGCATTTTCGTTTCTGAGATCTGTTGTCACATGATTAGATAAGCAAAAAGTATACTGAGCGTGAGAAACTCTGTGTCGTAAGCAGATTCTGCATCAATTCCTTGTATCAAATGACTTTCATCATCAATTCTTGGTAAATACGGATGGATGTATGTAATGCTGGGACCGTTGACAATGTGAATTGTGTGTAGTTATGAAACAAATAACAATGTCGTTTAAGATTGCTATAGTTGAGAACTGCTTCAACATGCCTTTTCATTCTGAGGGCTCTGAGCTGTGGATTTTTTTGAAAACTATTGTTTAGTTAATGATTCAGTTCTTCTGATGGAACGTCTGGTATTTTGTCCTGCTTACATGAAAATGGCAATAGGTAGTCTACCTTTTGCCTCAGAGCATTGGCCTGCACTTCCAGCACTTCGGATAACGAAGAAAAAATAGATATAGAATCTCTCTAATTTTTTGTATGTTTTTTTATAGACTCACTGATAAGACCAGAACCTGCTTAAAATTTGCTCGGCCTAATCTTTTTGGTTCTATGATTTAGAAAAAGTGTACAGCCATCAAATGATCAAATATTGCCACAACCCTTTTCTCTTGTTTCTGAAAGTCCGAAGTTTAGCGACTTTTATCACTGACCAAAGATACTGGCTTTTGATCTTCAAGAAAGAGTGTGAGAATCTGTCCAAGATTGTCAGACAAAAGGGCTTCTTTCCTCTTTCACCAAGGAAGAACATACACGTGTCAAATTTAAAAGGGTAGCTCGAAAAATGGTCGGCCGGAAAGTGCTGAGTGGTGAAAAAAGTGATCGTTGCGGCGGTGAAGAGAGCGGTTCAATGTAAAAAAAAAAAAAAATAGTTTGGTGGCGGTGGGGTTGGTGGCGCGTGACGGAGATGGTCTGATGGTATTTGATTACGTACTTCTTGTAGCAGCCGCCAACTCAGAATACAGAAAAAGATGGGTTTTTTCAAGAATGCAGTTAAATTCATTTGTGCTTGTGGGAATCATGGAGGTAAGCATAATGCGCCCCATTTACACTACCTTTTAAGTTAAGAAATGGTAGAATGTCTTATTACCTTATGTGTTTTTGGTTTTATCCCCCTTTTTTTCTCTGGGATTTTTGGACCCTTTATTCGAGAGAATATACGTGTGGTGTTTATCCTGGTTTTAAGCCATGATTTCCATGGATTATTAGATGATTAAGTTAATCACATTTCGAAGAGAGAAACTCTACAATCTACATTGTTTTGCACTAATTTCTGTTGTTTGTTCTTGGATTTTTACTCTGTGTTCACTGGATGTCCAGTTGTGTTTGAGTCTGGGGATGTTATTCTATCATCATTTGGTTTGGATTCCTGTGAATAATTCAGAAATGATGTGCTTGAAGTGATTAAGTTTCTGTTAAAAATTCATGGCCAATGGAGATAGAATACCGGGTGCATGGCCTAAATATCTGCTATCTGAGTGGGGGGACTGATGCAAAACTTGTTTAGTGAGAAACCTGTTGCAGCTAACTTATATTAAAGAGGCAGAGTTTTTGACCCATTAACAACTATGAAAAGTAAATCTATCACATACCATTTTCCAAATCAAGCTTTGCTTGTGGCTTTCCTATATTGCATTTCTTGCAAGTCATGCATGTATAACCAAGTTCTTTTCATGTATAAATAAGAGATAGTTAGCCAGAGTTGTTTGAATAAAGAAATTGGATTTCTCTGGACTAAAGGGAAACCAAACTCTCTAACTTGAAAATATTGGTTCACTTGCCCTTCCATTTCTAAGATTAATTTGAGGTAAGAAAAAGATTATTTTATTTTCCCCTTGCAAAAACACCATTTGTCCTTCGGGTTGTGTGTTGTTCATGTTTAACAGCTGCTTTAATGTTAACTTTATATGCTCTTCTGCAGAAATTGGGAAGCACAAAGGAGGACCTGGATCTATGGCACCCGTAGGAGTGCGTCTGACCATTCAAAATCGCTATGTAAAAGCTTCTCTCGTCTAATTTTTTATTTTATTTTATATATATATATATAGATATATATATATATATTTGTTTGTGTGCTACAACTTCGAGGAAGTTTGCTTTTCCATTTTAAAATCAATGTAGCTGCTTCAAAATTGTGCTTGAACCTAGTAGTGTTGACACAGGGACATGAACTGATTACTGATGAAAATATGTACCAGTAATAACTTGTATCCAAGTTTCTGCCCCTTTCAACCCTATTGTAAGAACTACTTTACTAATATCCCCTTGTCATGTTCATCCAATACCATAATGTTTACTTCTTTTGTGTATGGAATACGTGATCATGAGAATGATCCATAAAACAGGCCTCGCATGGTGGAATTAGGGCTTCATTCCTAGTCTTGTCTTTTCCGTTCACTATGTAGTCATCCTTTCCTTTGATGTTATTATCATGGTGTAAAATGTTTCTTATATACCAGTCCAAATGTCACACGTTTGACCGAATTTTGTCGACAATAAGATGAGAGAATGGTTTATGTTTGAGTTGAATGGGATGATTCTCAGATTGTACCTGGCATTTGGTAAAACAGCCATCTGGTAGTACCGAGGAAAGAAAGTAATCTTCTGTGAAAGAAAGAAACTCAATGAAAAACGATAAGAAGAAGAACATAGTTTTCTCCATTCTTATTGGAGTGTAAGTCATTTCATGCATTTGTAAACAGCATTGAGGAGGCATGTTATGTAAACCTTGTTGAAGTTAATAATGCTGATTGTTTTTCTTCTAAATATACTCACCTTTACAGGCAGTGATGGATAATGGTTTTGTACAAGTGACACTTTCAAATCCAGAGGGAATTGTCACAGGGATAAGCTACAACGGTGTTGACAATTTGCTTGAAGTACTCAATGAAGAATCTAACAGAGGGTATTGGAAACAAAATTTTTATTCTGCATGACCAGCATGTTTGTGGAGAAGATAGAAGCCTTGATGAACCCTTCTCTGCTAATTTTGAGATAGCCATCTCATATGTTGCTGATCAAAGTTTATGAACTCAAATCTGAAATGTAGGTACTGGGATGTTGTTTGGAGTCCAATAGTAAATGGCAAATCAGGACCAGGAATTTTTGAAGTGTAAGTTCTTTTGCTAAATTTTTGAGTAAGCTGATGGTGTCATCTTCTCTACCTCCAATATCCACAAATAACTGGTAACCATGCAGGATTAAAGCAACAGAATTCAGGGTTGTAGTGGAAAATGAAGATCAAGTGGAATTGTCTTTCTCAAGACCATGGGATCCGTCCCTCCTGGGCAAGCTGGCACCAATAAACATAGATAAAAGGTTATCAAGAACAGCTTGGATGCAAACCTGCAATTCATCATGTACTTCAGATTGTTCTGATTAAGGTTATGCTCATCTTGTAGGTTTATACTACTTCGTGGTTGCTCAGGCTTCTACTCTTATGCTATTTATGAACATGTCAGATCGATCGACTGGCCTGCTTTCAGCCTGGGTGAAACAAGGATCGCATTCAAACTTAGAAAAGACAAGTAGGAAAAGTTCCAGCTCTGAAGTTTGTGAACAAGTCCAATTCAACCTCGCTACTTTACGAGTTTAATTACTAAAAACATAAAATAAAAACAGATCACTTCATATGAATTTCAAGAGTTTATAGGTGAACTTTTCTTATGAAAAATGGCTGATTTAGTGGTTGTCTGAGTCTTTAGGTTTCACTATATGGCTGCCTCCGACAATCGGCAAAGGTTTATGCCTCTACCAGATGACAGATTACCTGGAAGAGGCCAACCCCTTGCGTACCCAGAAGCAGTCCTACTTGTCAATCCTGTGGAGCCTGATTTTAGAGGAGAGGTACCATTTAATCTTCTACTGTTTTGGAAATTGATAGTAAAAGATGCTAAGCCTTTGAGAGATATTTTCATGAAGCTTAGGAACACCTATTTACCACAAAAGCAGTGACAAAGACTCCTGAAACTGAAACTATGTTCGCAGGTGGATGACAAGTACCAGTACTCATGCGAGAACAAAGACCTCAGGGTTCATGGATGGATATCTATGAACCCTCCTGTAGGGTTCTGGCAGATCACACCCAGTGATGAATTTCGATCTGGTGGGCCTGTAAAACAAAACCTTTCCTCCCATGTTGGCCCCACAACTCTAGCTGTAAGTTTAAGTATGATTTTCCTTTTTTCCTTTGATAAGTAATACAGTGAGCAGCGTTACTGAGTGGTGATACTCTTTGCAGATGTTTCTTAGCAGTCACTATGCCGGGGAAGATCTGACACCAAAGTTTTTCCAGGGTGAGCAATGGAAAAAGGTTTTCGGACCTGTTTTTATCTATCTTAACTCTGTGATGCCTGGAGAGGATCCAATGACACTATGGGATGATGCAAAGATACAGGTCAGTGACAAAAACAAATTCGCTTCAAACACTTTTGCAACCTTTTTATTCTCTTATAAAGAGAATCTAGGCAATTGTAATATCAGTTCTAATTGTTTCTCAGATGTCTACCGAAGTCCAAAGCTGGCCATATACTTTTCCAGCCTCAGAGGACTTTCCTTCATGTGATCAACGGGGAAATGTTAGTGGTACACTGTTAGTAAAGGACAGGTATGACCTGTGACAGTATTATTACCAATTTCATTGTCTTTGTTCACCGGTTCTGACACCAATATGGATTTGCCCAGGTACATTAGCAGTGACTATATACCTGCAAATGGTGCATATGTGGGTTTGGCCCCACCTGGAGATGTAGGATCCTGGCAAAGAGAATGCAAAGTCAGTTTCATCAGCTACATTTTCATTGATCTTTTTTTGCAAGCAACTGTCATTTCAAAAGTTGAAAACTTGACAAGTGCGAACAGAATTAATATGGGATAGGATCATTCATCATATATGTTGCTGAGCCCTTGTGTGCAATTAAAGATGAAACATTGTTTCCATCCATTTTCCCTAAAATATTCTATATTCTGCTTTTGAAATATGTAAAGCTGATTTCTTGATATGTGAGCACTCGAAATATCAATGACGTTGAAGTAACTTCAGTTGATCCAGTGTAGTTAATCAGTAAATCTGAACCATGTGTGTTGATCAGGATTACCAGTTTTGGAGCAAGGCAGATGAAGAAGGAAACTTTTCCATAAATAATGTAAGGAATGGTGACTACAATCTCTATGCTTGGGTCCCTGGATTTGTTGGAGACTACCGAAATGATGCTGTCATCACCATAACCCCAGGTCTTATTTTTGGGAAAACAATCGTGTTGGTCCATCTGCAAATTAAGATATTTCTGGACTGATTAATCTGTTGGACAGGTTGTGATGTGGATATTGGTGATATCGTTTATGAGCCTCCTAGAGATGGTCCAACATTGTGGGAAATAGGTATTCCAGATCGCTCTGCTGCAGAGTTTTACGTTCCTGATCCCAACCCAAAGTATATCAACAAAGTTTTGCTCAATAGCAGTGCTGACAGGTAAGATATTCCGCATTCCTTAAATAGTATGTCTCCCGCTGCGACATGGGATCATAATAAAAACTGAAATGAAATTCTACTTATTAGCTTTACAAGTTATGGAGGAAAACACCATGCCATTGTTTTTGCAATCAGATGATTATATAGAAATTGCTTCTAACAGATTCAGGCAATACGGATTATGGGAGAGGTATTCGGAGATTTATTCTAATGGAGATTTGGTATACACTGTTGGCCAGAGTGACTACAGGAAAGACTGGTTCTATGCTCAGGTTACCAGGTAACTCTGATGATCAATTACTTTTTACTTTATAGCCTTATGTTAAGGGTGTACAAACTACAGTTCTGGGATGGTTTCACAGGGTTGAATTACATAATATACTAGATACTCTACTCATAATATGTAATATTTCTGATTACAGAAAGAAAGATGATAATACGTATCAAGGGACCACCTGGCAGATCAAATTCGCCCTCGATGATGTTAACCTAGGAGGAACTTATAAGCTACGTGTGGCGATCGCGTCTGCAACTTACGCTGAATTGCAGGTTTTTAAGACTGCTGGATCAAGCTTACAAGGAAAAGCTTGCACTGCTTAACCTCCATGATTTCGTCTAAAATATTCCTTTGCAGGTTAGGGTCAACAATCCAAACACACCACAGCCGCTGTTTACCACCGGATTGATTGGAAGGGATAACTCGATCGCGAGGCACGGGATACATGGGCTTTACTGGCTCTACAGTGTGGATATTCAAGGTGCTGTACTAGTGAAAGAGGATAATACCATTTACTTAACACAGCCAAGAAACAATGGTCCTTTCATCGGGTTCATGTATGATTATATACGTTTAGAAGCTCCTCCTAGCTAATAGGCTTACAATCCTTCATTCTTGAACAGATTAGAAGCTGAAAATCTGAACCCCTGTGTGATTCGCGTGTATTAACAAGTTGGTGAATAAAACTATTATGTTACTTTAATGGCCTTCTCATTCTGTAAAATGTATGCTGTGTCACTCCTTTCCTAAGATTAAGATTTTACATGGCTGACATGTTGATGTTCAACTATGAGAGCATGTAACATAAGTGGGAAAAGTAAATTCTATTTCTCACTTACCGTATACCAATTGTATCTTATTAGTAAAACGTTTTCGGTATCTTTTTACTGTCTCATTAGTAACCAAAAAAAATAAATAAATAATACTTGGAAATGATTGATCCTTCAAAAACAATAGAGCACCCTTAGTGGATTCTTAAAATGGTAGATTCCTTTTCAGATGATTGCAGCTATTTTAGGAACGAAATTAAACAATATTTCCAGGAGAAGACAAAGAATAAAGCATAAAGCTGAGGAGAGGAAATGATCAGTAGATGATATCATGCGCGCATGTGTACTGATCGGGTCTAATCTGAATTAGTCATGATAGTCAGATCATGATTTTTTTTAACCAGAAAAGATATTTTTTACAGACAAAGTTATCAGTTACTACTACTGTTCTCAAAAATGACAAGGAATAATCATCTTTTTCCCAGTGACATGCTTCTGCCAAAGGTGATATTTTTACAAGTGATAATGTCAGAAATTAATGATTCTTATCTCTAAAGAAGAGTGAAAGAATTAATCCAACTCATATAACTGTTACCTCACTTAATAACACTAATAAATTTTTGAAACCTAAGTGTATAATAAATGTCAACAAAAATTTCCTGATGTTGCTTTATAAGCTAAAGTAACAGATGATTCAGCCTTTCTGTTTAAGGAAGCACTTTTAAAGGGTTTACTTACCTGATTTTCTTTATTCTGCTGCTTTATAAGAAACAAGAGTTGTGGATCAGTGGAAACCACAAGAGAGCTACTATGGCTACCTCAGGAGTGAAGTTGACAGTTGCAGATGATCATGTATGTAATGAATTCATTTCTTTTCTTTTGAAATGGCATGATTCAGCTGTGTGTTGTAAATTTCTGCAATTTGATGTGTTGCTGATGACATATTTTCCAAACTTCAACAGGTTGTCATAGATAATGGGATTGTTGAAGTCACTTTATCAAATCCAGGGGGAATTCTCAAGCAGATTAAGTACGGGGGAATTGACAATTTGCTGGAACTCAATAACAAAGATTTGAATGGAGGGTTTGTTGATGTTCATTTTTTCTTAGCATTGAAATTTCCTGTACGATAATGAGTGAAGGACTGATTTCTGCTGTTAAAGGGAAATTTCAGGTTCTGGGACCTTAACTGGAGTGAAGCAGGAGCTCCTGGAACAAGGGGAAAGTTTGATACGTATGTCTCCTCAAATTCATTTATTAGTTAGTTCATATAAGTACTGTTATAGATTTCTTGTCATACAATGATCCGTGAAGATGTAATAAACCGTCCCTTTTCGTAAATCGCAGAGAATAAAAGATGTAGTATTTCATAATTTCAATCAAGAAAAAGTTCTTCAGAATCTCATTTGCCTTTTTGAACTTGCAGCTTTAATGTTAGAACTGAGAATGTCATCTTTGTGCTGCAGGATTGAAGGAACCGCTTTAAAGGTTATAGTTCAAAATGATGAGCAAGTTGAGCTCTCATTCCCAAGAGTCTGGAGTCCTTCAGTCAAGGGAACACAAGCTCCTTTGTCTATTGATAGGAGGTCCTTTACTCTTTTCTTTCAGCATTTCTGAAACTCCCCATGTAATAAAAAGGTCATTGATGCATGATAATTATTTACAGCTCAAAATTACATTGCTGAGCCGAATTGCAGGTTCATCGTGCTTCAAGGCTTCCCTGGTTTGTACTCCTATGCCATTTTCGAACACTCGAAGGACATGCCTGGTTTTAATCTCAACACAACTAGGATTGCTTTCATGCTCAGCAAAGACAAGTAAGAAGTATTTGCCTAGCAGATCATCTAGAGAATTTCAGTAAAATAAACCATGTTAATTTTTTCCAGAATTGTTTACACTTTAACGTTTTGATAATTGAATGTGTTTTGTCATAAGTAGAAAAGCATGATTACCTGTGCATTATAAAAATTGAGTTGTGGAGAACTTCCAGCAAAACACTATCCATAAGTTGTTTTTCCAAGTGAACAGGTTTCGCTACATGGCCGTAGCTGACAACAGGCAAAGATACATGCCTCTTCCAGATGACAGAGTACCACCTAGAGGCCAGCCACTTGCCTACCCTGAAGCAGTTCTTCTTGTTGATCCAATAGAACCAGAATTCAAAGGCGAGGTACTTCGAGGCGAGGCCATAAGCATTTCCTGAGTAAATGTGCCTAAGTTTATGCCTGTACAGTCTATACCTTTCTCACTAAGTTGTCTTTGTGCAGGTAGATGATAAGTATCAATACTCACTTGAGAACAAAGATAATCGAGTCCATGGATGGATATGCTTCGATCCACCAGTCGGCTTCTGGCAAATAACTCCCAGCAATGAGTTTCGAAATGGTGGACCATTTAAACAAGACCTTGCCTCACATGTCAACCCAACCACACTAGCTGTAATTTACTAATTATAGTAAAGATCTTGTTGTCAGTTCTAAAGAATTGAATTGCAGAACCCACATCGTGGGTGTGTTAAGTGTAAGAACAAAGGTTTCCATTGAGGACAGCTACACGATTCACATTTCTTTTATGTCCTGATGCCAGATATTTCACACTTCACATTATGCGGGGCAAGATCTTCTGCTGAAATTTGAAGATGGTGAGGTTTGGAAGAAAGTGTTGGGACCTGTTTGTATCTATCTTAATTCTGCTTCCATGGGAGCAGAAGCACCTGCTTTCTGGGATGACGCCAAAGAACAGGTCGGTCTACAACTAATGATGTGATTCTTTTACATGTTAGCATTCAGTAAGTTATCTAGCTTAGCTGATTTCTTGATGATCTACAGATGAACAAAGAAGTCCAATTATGGCCATATGCATTTCCAGCTTCAGAAGATTTTCCTAGGAAAGATCAGAGGGGATCAGTCAGTGGCAAATTATTAGTAGAAGACAGGTTTGCACCCTCAGTTCTTTCACTCACCACTCACACCTTAGAAAATCAAGTCACAACCTGTTAGTCGGAAGAAATTCTGCCGTTTATGTCATTTAACATCATGTCATGCTTCCATGGTGCTTTCTAAGAAGGTTTATTATCAAAGATTTTTCTTTATCAGGGAAGTTTGAACGTTAACACTGTCTGAGCTGAACAGGTACCTTAACAAGGAAGCCATACCAGCATCAGCTGCATATGTTGGAGTAGCAGCTCCAGGGATTGAAGGTTCCTGGCAAAGAGAGAGCAAGGTATAGTGATTCCTTTCTTTCATCCAAATTAGTGCACTCTTAACGTCTGCGAGACACTGTACTTTCCTGTTTGGTACAAAGTAGGACTTAACGGGTGCAATATCTGCTAACACTTACAGGAGTATCAGTTTTGGACCACTGTGAATTGTGATGGCTCTTTTGTCATAAAGAACATACGTCCCGGTGACTATAATCTTTATGCTTGGGTGCCTGGTTACATTGGGGACTATAAATATGCAACTGAAATCAATATGACAGCAGGTTTTTTTTTTTCTTTTTAGTTTTATTGTTACTGAGTAAATTTGAAACTTTCTATTGGAATGACTGGTTCTCTGTGACATGATTGTAACGATGTTCTATAAAGCAGGCTCTGAAATTGAGGTGGGTGAAATTGTGTATGAGCCCCCAAGAGATGGCCCTACACTCTGGGAAATCGGCATCCCTGATCGCTCTGCTGCAGAGTTTTACATTCCTGATCCAAACCCTAAGTATATCAATAGACTTTATGTCAATCACCCAGACAGGTTACTTCTTGCCAAGAATCTTCTTTAGTAGTACCAATATTTGAAATGTCATGGTGAAGTCAAAAATGGCTAAAACTTCATTCACCTCCATGAAACAGGTTTAGGCAGTATGGATTATGGGAAAGGTATTCGGAAATATACCCTGCTGAAGATTTAGTTTACACAGTTGGTGTCAGTGACTACAGGAAAGACTGGTTCTTTGCTCAGGTTACCAGGTGAGAACAGACATTGGCCCAACTCTCAAGCAATCTTCTGATAGTATCAGCTAAGCATGTTTTCTTCATTTATGTTCACATCATCACATGTTGATGACTTTAGAAAAAAAAATTGATCAAACAAATGTGTTTTGCTATGGAAACAGCAAACATTTTCTGAGTAACCAGGATAAGTATTCAAAGTGATCAGTGGAGTTTTGCAGCTGAAACAAAAGGGTTTTTTTGTGTAGAAAATCGGGTGAGAAAGAGTACAAGAGCACAACATGGCAAATCAAGTTCAATATTGACAATGTTGAACAAACAGGAACCTATAAGCTGAGAATAGCATTAGCATCTGCACACAATTCTGACCTTCAGGTAGCTTTCACTCTTGCAGAATCTCTCTTTAAGAATTCATAACATGAGTTAGTAATTAATCTCGAGATGCATTAATTTTTTTCAAGGTTCGCGTCAATGACGCTACAGAGAATCCCCCACTGTTTTCAAGTGGAGTGATCGGCTCAGATAATGCAATAGCAAGGCATGGAATCCATGGAATATATTGGTTGTTTAATATTGACATTCCAGGTTCTAAGCTATTGAAAGGTGATAACACCATTTTCCTTACACAAGCAAAGAGTAACAGCCCGTTCCAAGGGGTTATGTATGACTACATTCGATTGGAAAGTCCACAGTTATCACTGTCTTAAAAAAGACAGTTAATAGACTTCTTGTGGATTTCATTGAATTTGCAGACTCTGCTATATATATATATTATATATGTAGAAAAATTAAGATTTTGATCAAATTCTCAACGACTCAATCAACCGGATGAAAAAGTCAGACAAGCGTGAATAAAATTTCTCATCCACTTAGTCGTCCGCATAGCTTTATCCCGACGACAAAGTCGACGAGTAAATTTTCTTCTGCATATAATTCTTGTCTACTTGTTCGCCGAGATTCCTAACCCCACGAACAAAGTCGACGAAGGAAGTTTCGCAAGATTCGTAATGTTCAGGAATTTTATGCCTAAAAGAAAGTCTTCACCGATGTTCAAATCTAACGTAGTACTAAGAAAGTCTTCACCGTTTATATTCCAACCGACCGAATAATATATGCGATTATCTTTAAAAAATATATGCAATTGTCTTCTTTTTCCTTTTTTCTTTTCTTTTTTTTTTGATAGAAGCAATTGCGAATACTTTAAACCAATGTTATATTAATCCATGAATTACAAAGTTTTCTTAGGTATGAATCCAGGAAACTTATAAATGATTATTAGTCTATGATTGAATGTAAAGTTTTAATTACAATCGAGAAATATTTTAATTAGGTAATTTACATGTGTTACCCAACATATCATATAACCATCATTAGTTCATTGCAAATTCCAATAAGGTCAAAATATATTTTTAATTACAATTGAGGACTATTTTAATTATGTAATCTACATATTACCCAACATATCATGATGTAACCATCATTCGTTCATTTTTTGATGAGGTAAAACTATGTTTTTTTTTTTTTTGGACAGAACATGTGCAATTCATTTTTTGTTTATTATCTCACAAATTTCTAAGATTAAAAACTTTTCAAATTATTTGAGAAAATAATCCTAAAGATTCTTGTTGATGTTTTGGTGTAAGAATTATTCTTTAGATCAACTTCATGATTTCTTGTAGGTTATGATTAAGAGACAAATTGATCATGTGGGTGCACTATGTAATTTAAAGCAAAAAATTTGAAGAATTTTTCCTATTCAATGATGCTAAGTTTAATTGCATAAACTTTTGGTATCACATTCCAATTGGTAATATACACTACTCTTTATAAAATATATATATATATATATATATATATTTGGGAATGTATGTATATTTCCTTTATGTCTCAAGATTAACAAAGGGAATCTCATGTAGAAATTGTTATTCCTTCTTGCAGTTTGTATTTGTGGGGCTCTTTCTTGCTCGATATATTCAATCGTTATTGTAATCTCCTTGTGCTATCATGTTGTCAATTCAATCATTATTGTAATCCTCTTGTGCTATCCTGTTATCAATTCAAACAGATTTTTCTTTTATAATGTACATCATAATGAATATATAATGTATAATCAAAAGAGTATATAAGATTGTGCAACACATTCTTAAGAAAGCACAAAGTACCTTACTCCATTATCTGCCTTTGACAAATTAATCCATCATCACAATAGTTTTCCCATTCGTATTAGAAACGGTCGAATCCATTTTCATGTTTCCGTGCTTATATGTATATCTAAAATTTCAATATTAGGCAGATGGTTGAATGTCATTCCGCACCAGACAATTTAAAACATCAACAAAAAATAAAACAATGCATAAAAATAACACTTTTCATTTTTATAAGACTCAATGATCAACTCCTTTGTGATATTTGCTACAGTCGCAATAAGTTTGAACCACCACAACTCAAATAATCCAAACAAAATTAATTATAGAAAGATATGTACCAAACTTATTGTTAAAATACCTTCAATCCGTATAACTGCAACCAAACAAATTTAGAAAAAAAAAACAACAATCAAATACTTTTATAACTATACGGCATTGACTAATATATATTGAATCTCAAATTTACTTTCTAAATTTTCACTTTTAGTGCAGTTTATACTAGAAATGAAAATCTAAACCAGCAATAATTTTGAAACAGAGGGAGTATATTTTTTATAGAGGTTAGATTGGTGAAAGAAGATCTTAGGTCCTGATACAATGAGATTTTTGTTTTAAATGATTTTGGTTTGGAAACATTAATGAATCTGAACATGATTTGGTCAAAATATTCTATTTCAGTATTTTATTATTATTATTATTATCATTATTATTATTATTATTATTATTATTATTATTATTATTATTGTAGAATTGAGTTTTTTTAATGAGTTTGATTTGAAGTGATAATGATTGTAGTCATGATTTTTTTTCATGCATTAAACGTTAATTAAATGATCATAAAAGAAAAAGATTGGTTTCCTAGATTTTCTTTTTTTCCCTTTGGTTTCTCCTTGATTTTTGGATCTTATTTTTAAGACAGTGATGATAACAAATTGGCGTATTTGATATTAATTAATTTTCATAATCATGTTAACTGGTAGTAATTTGGCATTACCAATATTTTTTTATGGATCCTTAGCATAAATGATGAAACATTTTCTGCACCTAACTTTTAAGAAATTAACACATAAAAATTTCTCCTATAGTTGGCGGCATATAAATCTTCTTAGATTCTCTCTCCGGTTTCAATCTTAGTAGTGAGTAGCCAAGCACATGTCCTAATAACAAATACTCCCTCCATTCCTTCATTCCAAAATGAGTGTCATCCTACACTTTGCACATAGTTTAAGAAACTCTTAAATAGAGTAATAAAATTACTTGAATATTCTCAACCAACTTTATTAAAAAAATGTCCACCAATAGCATTAATTCTTTTGAGGGTAGTTTTGAAAACTTTGGACAAAAAGTACATTGAAATTTGAGAACGACACTTATTTTGAAATTTCTCTATTTTGTTAAAATGACACTTATTTTGAAACGGAGAGTACAAAATACTCTTGAAGTGAGATGCCATATGCAGTGTGCTGTGTGTGTTTTTGAAAAAATAAAAGAAAGAAGATATTAAAGAAGAAGTTATTAGTTACTAAACTTTTCTCATAAAGGATATGAGAAGGGAATAATCAATCATCTTTGTCCCTGTGACATTCTTCTGCCAAAGGTGATATTTACAAGCGAAGGTATCAATGTCAGCCTTTCTGTTTAAAAAAGCAACTTTAAAGGTTTACTTCATCATCTTAATTCTGCTGATTTATAAGAATCAGAGTTGTGGATCAATGGAAACCTCAGGAGTGCAGTTGACTGTTGCAGATGATCATGTAAAATAAATTGTTTTCCTTTTCATTTCTTTTCTTCTGAAATGTCATGATTCTGTGTGTGTGTGTGTGTGTGTTTTTTTTAGTTTTTTGCAATTTGATGTGTTGCTGAATGATATATATTTTCCAAACTTCAACAGGTTGTCATAGATAACGGGATTGTTGAAGTAACTTTGTCGAATCCAGGTGGAGTTCTCAAGCAGATAAAGTATGGAGGAATTGACAATTTGCTGGAACTCAATTACAAAGATTTGAAAGGAGGGTGTGTTGGCGTTCATTTTTTCTTACTTAGTTTGTTTCCAGCATTCGAAATTCTTGTTCAAATGTTGCACAGATTATTGTACTTTTTTGAGTGAAAAAAAAAAAAAGAGAGAGAGATTGATTTCTGCTGTTATGCAAAAAATTTCCGGTTCTGGGACGTTAACTGGAGTGAAGCAGGAGCTCCTGGTACTAGGGGAAAGTTTGATACGTATGTCCATATAATGTTCTCTATTTCTAGTCCATACAGTGATCCTTCAACATGTAATAAACTGTCCCTTTTCGTAAATCGCAGAGAATAAGTTCAATCAAGAAAAAGTTCTTCGATTCAGATTCTTCATGTATGCCTTTTTGATCAATATGTTAGTGTTTTAGAACTGAGAATGTCATCTTTGTGCTGCAGGATTGAAGGAACCGCTTTAAGGGTTATAGTTCAAAAGGATGAGCAAGTTGAGCTCTCATTCCCAAGAGTCTGGAGTCCTTCAGTCAAGGGAACACAAGCTCCTCTGTCTATTGATAGGTGGTCTTTTACTCTTTTCTATCAGCATTTCAGAAACTCCCCATGTAATGAAAAGGTCATTGATGCATCATAATTAGTTACAGCTCAAGATTACATCGCTGAGCCGAATTGCAGGTTCGTCGTGCTTCAAGGCTTCCCTTTTAAACAAGACCTTGCCTCACATGTCAACCAGCCACACTAGCTGTAATTTACTAATCATATAATACATCCAAAACATTTACTACTAAGGACAGCAACAAAAGTCACATTTCCTTTATGTCCTGTTGCCAGATATTTCACACTTCACATTACGCTGGAGAAGACCTTCTGATGAAGTTTGAAGATGGTGAGGTTTGGAAGAAAGTGTTGGGACCTGTTTGTATCTATCTTAATTCTGCTTCGAAGGGAGCAGAAGCAGCGGCTTTCTGGGATGACACCAAAGAACAGGTCGGTCTACAACAAATGATGTGATTATTTTACATGTTAACATCCTGCAAGTTATCTAGCTTAGCTGATTTCTTAATGATCTACAGATGAACAAAGAAGTCCAATCATGGCCATATGCATTTCCAGCTTCAGAAGATTTTCCTAAGACAGATGAGAGGGGATCAGTCAGTGGCAAATTATTAGTACAAGACAGGTCTGCACCCTCAGTTCTTTTATTCTCCACTTTCACCTTCGACAATCAAGTCACGGCCTATTAGTCGGTAGAAATTCTGCCCATAATGTTTCTGTCATTTAACATCATGTCATGCCGCCAAATTAGCACTGTTTGAACGTTAACACTGCTGAGCTGAACAGGTACCTCAACAAGGAAGCCATACCAGCACCTGCAGATATGTTGGAGTAGCAGCTCCAGGGATTGAAGGTTCCTGGCAAAGAGAGAGCAAGGTATAGTGATTCCTTTTTTTCATCCAAACTAGTGCACTCTTAACGTCTGCGAGACACTGTACTTTTTCTGTTTCATACAAAGTTGGCCTTAATAGTTGCAATATCTGCTAACACTTACAGGAATATCAGTTTTGGACCACTGTGGCTAGTGATGGCTCTTTTATCATAAATAACATACGTCCCGGCAACTATAATCTTTATGCTTGGGTGCCTGGTTACATTGGAGACTATAAATATGCAACTGAAATCAATATAACAGCAGGTTTCTTTTTTCTTTTTTTTTTTATTGTTACAGGGTAAATTTGAAACGTTCAATTGGAATGACTCTGTGACATTATTGTAGCAATGTTCTATAAAGCAGGCTCTGAAATTCAGGTGGGTGAAACTGTGTATGAGCCCCCAAGAGATGGTCCTACACTCTGGGAAATCGGCATCCCTGATCGCTCTGCTGCAGAGTTTTACATTCCTGATCCAAACCCTAAGTATATCAATAGACTTTATGTGAATCACCCAGACAGGTAACTTCTTGCCAAGAATCTTCTTTAGTAGTACCAATATTTGAAACCTCATGGTGAAGTCAAACATGGCTGAAATGAAACAGGTTTAGACAGTATGGATTATGGGAAAGGTATTCGGAAATATACCCAGATGAGGATTTAGTTTACACAGTTGGTGTCAGTGATTACAAGAAAGACTGGTTCTTTGCTCAGGTTACCAGGTGAGAACAGACATTAGCCCAACTCTCAAGCAACCTTCTGGTAGTATCATCTAAGCATTGAACACTTTAAAAAAAAAAAAAAAAATTGATCAAACAAATGTGTTTGGCTATGGAAATCCAAACTTTTTTTAAGTAACCAAGATAGGTATACAAAGTGATCAGTGGAGTATTGAAGCTGAAACAAAAGAGTTTGTTGTGTAGGAAATCGGGTGAGAACGAGTACAAGAGCACAACATGGCAAATCAAGTTCAACATTGACGCCGTTGAACAAACAGGAACCTATAAGCTGCGAATAGCATTGGCATCTGCACACAATTCTGACATTCAGGTAGCTTTCACTCTCTAGCAGACTGCTTTTTGCATTTTATTTTATACCTCTGATCTCTTTAAGAATTCCTAACATGAGCCGGTAATTAATCTCAAGATGCATTAATTTTTTTTCAAGGTTCGCGCAATGACGCTCTAGAAAATCCCCCACTGTTTTTAACTGGAGTGATCGGCTCAGATAATGCAGTAGCAAGGCATGGAATCCATGGAATATATTGGTTGTTTAATATTGGCATTCCAGGTTCTAAGCTATTGAAAGGTGATAACACCATTTTTCTTACACAAGCAAAGAGTAACAGCCCTTTCCAAGGGGTTATGTATGACTACATTCGATTGGAAAGTCCACAATTACCACTGTCTTAAAAAGACAGTTAAAAATTTACATTAGTTCTTCTTGTGGATTTCATTGAATTGGCAGACTCTTCTATGTAGAGAAAAATTAAGTGTTGATCAAATTCTCAACGACTCAATCAACCGGATGAAAGAGAAGTGTGAATAAAATTTCTCGTCCACTTAGTCGTCGCATAGATTTATCCCGACGACAAAGTCGACGAGTATATTTTCTTCTGATTACGATTCTTGTCTACTTCTTTGTCGAGATTTCTAACCCGACGAGGAAAGTCGACGAAGGAAGTATCACAAGATTCACAACTCACAAGATTCTCATTCGGTTAAAAATCAATTATTTTTTCGAAGTTGATGAAATAAAGAACACCGTGTCATAACTAAAATATACCCCATCTATTTCTAAATTATTGTCCAGTTTAAATTTTCACTTTTAGTTCAATTTGTACTAAAATGAAAGCCAAACTAGACAATAATTTCAGAACAGAGGGAATATGTATTCTTAAAGTCATTTCCACATCCGTTTAGGAATTTTATGCAAAAAGAAAATGTCTTCACCAATATTCAAATCTAACGTACTACTAAAATATGTGACCACATGATATTTATTTACTAAAACGGAAGCGTGAACTGTTCTTTTTTACTTCTGGTCTAATGTTGCCATGCTTAAGGGCAACTTTTTCCACATTTTTTGCTACTTTTGGCAAGAGAGCTTGCCTTGAATGTAAAGCTACTCTAAGTGGATTGGCTCTCCAACATACGTTTATTTATAAAGGGATCAAATCTTGCTTGTAATGTAAAGCAAATCATCACTCACAAACCATCAAATTCCACCAGCAAGCAACATCATATATCTCCAGGCTTTTAACAAGTTTCAGAAGGTAACCCATCTTTCAATGCAAAAACCGGATGGTTCTGGCATGGGCTTCTTTTAACTCGGTTTAGCGACGATTTTACAGGGACTCAACACGTAAACTGCAGGTCCATGGCAGCATCAGCAGTGCAAGTTTTCATTCAAGATGACCAAGTAATTCACTTCAGCTTCATCAGTTCTAAATGATGTAGCATTTGTCCTGTTTAAGCATAGCTAAAAAAAGGCCTAATTAGATTGGCTTTCTAGAAAGGCACATCTTTGTAACCAACAGGGAAGGGATTCTAGGAGATACTGCTGATTTTTAAAATCTTATAGGTACATTTTGATCAGATTTCTTATCAGCCATATAATCCAAACAGGTGGTCATTTCCAATGGAATACTCCAACTTACTTTCACAAATCCAGGGGGCATTATCACTCAAATCCAATATGGTGGAATTGACAACCTACTGGAGCTTAATAATCCAAGTCTAAATGGAGGGTGGGTGTGCATACTTACATCTGATACGATGTTACGAAAATTAACGCTTGATTTTTATGTATGACAGGTCTTTGATGTTGTTTAACTGAGTCTGCAGATTCTGGGACCTAAACTGGAGTAAAGCTGGAAGTTCAGGAACAAGAGGAGACTTTGATACGTATGAACCTATTCAAATTCTTTGTGCAAAAAATCAATTTCTTCAGCATCTGCTGCAGTGATGTTGGCCCATCTGATAAAAACACATATCACTGAAAGAGTGTAAACTATTCTGCAGAATCGAAGGAACTACTTTTAGAGTTATTGTTGAGAATGATGAACAAGTAGAAATATCATTCACAAGAACGTGGGATCCGTCACAACAGGGCGATCACTCTCCTTTGAACATTGATAAAAGGTTTAAATTTGGTACCCAAAAGACTCAAACAGAAAACTGCCAAAAGTATTCTTTCAATTTGGTTTTTAAGACAGGAAATATGACTGCAATGGTGACGCCCGTTTGGCCTTTGGTTAGGTTCATTTTGCTCCGAGGCTGCTCGGGCTTCTACTCTTACGCCATCTATGAACACAGTGCTGACATGCCTGCATTCAACCTCAATGAAACCAGGATAGCATTCATGCTCAAAATTGACAAGTATAATGAGCAACTTGGGGTGAAGTTTTCTTACGATGACATAAATTGTCAAACTCTAATTATGACTGAAGTTTTGATATGCAACTAGGTTTCATTACATGGCGTTATCAGATGACCGGCAAAGGTACCTGCCACTACCGGATGACAGATTAGCCCCGAGGGGCAAAGAATTGGCTTATCCAGAAGCAGTGTTGCTCGTGGATCCTGTTGAACCAGAATTCAAAGGAGAAGTACTGGTTCACTTCCCCTTTTCTCAAAAGAAAATTAATGCTTGAAAAAAAAAACACTAAAATCAGTCATTCACTCCACCAAGCAACTTTAAAAGAGTGTACCTGTTTAATCACTTTTCCAGCAATTCTGAGACGTTTTCCTCTTTTTGTTATCCATTGTCACATGTTGAGCAGGTTGATGATAAGTACCTGTATTCTTGTGAGAACAAAGACAACAAGGTGCATGGATTCATTTCAATGGAGCCATCTGTTGGTTTCTGGCAAATTACACCAAGCAATGAGTTCAGGACTGGAGGACCAATCAAGCAGGACCTTACATCTCATGTCAACCCGACCACACTTGCTGTACGTGATGTACTACTATTGAGCATTACAAACCCTAACCAAAACCGAAGCTGAACAAACAAATCCCTTGACTTTGTCAGATGTTTGTAAGCACACATTATGGAGGAGAAGATTTGGTGATCAAATTTGGCAAAGGTGAGCCATGGAAGAAAGTTTTTGGGCCAGTGTTCATCTACCTCAATTGTGTTTCGGACCAAGCTGACGCACTTACACTCTGGGATGATGCCAAAAGACAGGTTAAATAAACAACTAACTTTCCTTCCTCTACACTTTCAACATGTATCTCCTCAGTTAATGAAAGTTAAAAAGTTTTCTCAAAATCATTCTACAATAATGCTTGGGCTAGATGAATCAAGAGGTTCAAAGTTGGCCATACAGTTTTCCAGATTCAGCAGACTTTCCGAAAGCTGATCAAAGGGGTTGTTTAAGTGGAAGATTACTAGTGAAAGAAAGGTACAATTTCTAAGCAAGATTATATGTCCTCCAGTCTAGCATATTTAGAAACAAATTTACCATTTCTCTGTAACTTGTTCACTGTCAAGGTACATAAGTGAGGACCTCCTTCCCGCAGCCGATGCCCATATCGGCCTAGCTCCACCAGGAAACATTGGATCATTTCAGAAAGAATGCAAGGTAATACGCTGCAACAAGTTGATTTCAATGGATACAGACTCACTTCAGCAATAGCTTCTAATTTTACCAATGATCAGGGCTACCAGTTCTGGACAAAGACTGATAACCAAGGATGCTTCTCAATCAACAATATTCGCCCTGGTGATTACAATATCTATGCATGGGTTCCGGGTTTCATTGGAGATTACCAAAGCGAATCCATCATCACCATTACTGCAGGTGACTTCCACTTTCTTTTTTGAACAAAGATAAGAGCTTCTGAGCTTCACAGCATCCAGAAACTTCATATCAAGCAAATTATTGCAGGGTGCAGAATTGATCTGGAAGAAGATGTTATATTCATTCCTCCTAGAGATGGACCAACATTGTGGGAAATTGGCATCCCTGATCGGTCTGCTGCTGAATTCTACATTCCTGATCCCAACCCAGAATACATCAATAAGCTTTACATAAATCTTCCAGAACACAAGTCATATTACATATCCTTCCTTTCTGATTATCTTAGTCTCGACTGAAATTAAGATTCTTGACCTATAATTTTACATTTTTTGGTTCAGATTCAGGCAATATGGGTTGTGGGAGAGATACGCAGAGCTATACCCAGATGGTGATTTGGTCTACACAGTTGGAACCAGTGATTATCATAAAGATTGGTTCTATGCTCATGTTAACAGGTTGATTCTCAAGAATCATACATCAAAGTTTATTCCTAATATAGCTATAACTGATTCGAATATTTGCTCTTTCATTACAGAAAGATAGGAACCAACTCCTTCCAATCAGCAACATGGCAGATAAAATTTGAGGTTGACAATGTTGTTCAATCTGGAACTTACAAACTTCGAATTGCTCTGGCTTCAGCTAATGTTTCTGAGTTGCAGGTGTTTAAACAACAACAATGAATAGGACCTTCATGAACTATGTGAAAAATTTAAGACTAATAATCTTCAACTTTCTCACAGGTGAGGGTTAATAGTCCAAAAGAAGATCCACCCCATTTCAGTACAGGAACAATAGGAACAGATAACGCCATTGCAAGACATGGAATTCATGGATTATATTGGCTATTCAATGTAGATATTCAGGCATCTCAACTTCTGGAAGGCAACAACACAATATACCTTACCCAAGCCAAAAATGATACAGCTCTCCATGGGATTATGTATGATTATATTCGTTTGGAATGCCCTGCCCCTGAAAATGGTTTCTGAGGGATCATCAATCAACTTAATTATGATCCTAACTTTTCATAAATTTGTTGAATCAACAAGAAAACTGTAGCTCAAAAGAGCATGATTCTTTCATTTCATATATATCCCAACTTATAGAACATTTCATCAATACAAGAAAAAAGAAACAGAACAAAATTCCATTAGTTCAATAGGATTTATTATTGATTTGTTTCCTGGTATTCTCGGCTTCATCAGCAGCATCAACCTGCATTTTTGAGGCCAACAAATCAGCTTCAGCAGCTTCCCTCTCATTCCTTGCTGTCAATTTCTTTGCCTGCATTTTTTTTTTTAAAACACAAAAATCAATCAACCCCACGAAAAGTTCCAATCTTTTTCGGGTCTGTGAAACACAAAAATCGAACTGGGATACACAGATACCTGACCAACAAAAATGGCTTTGATGTAACGGAATCCCTGTAGAAATGTAGCTTTGATAGAAATGCAATTTCTCTTGAAACCAGAAGTTGGCCTTGTACTGCTAGTACTACTACTACTACTACTAGTGGCTTGTGGACCTGGTGATATTGCTACTGATTGAACTTCTTCCATGAAGATTTGTTTGTCTTTGTGATATTTGATCAATGGTTTATTTTTCCAGCTTAATTTGGTGCAAGAAAGTTCAGTTTTTTTTGCTGATTTTAGCTGAATGAAAAGAGGTGAAAGTTGGCAGGATATGAAACTTGTTGCCATCAGAAATTGCCACGTTTTTAACCCAAAATGTACACAAACACTAGGTGGCTTGGGTTTCCAGCTTCATCAAATGAATAATTTTCTGCACAAAAAAAAAATGAAAAAGAATATATATATATATATATATATATATATTTTACAATGGAAGAGGCGACAAAGTCTAGAATCAGACTCATATATTACGAAATATGTCACCTCAATTAAATCATGTTAATAGATCATTTTGAGGAGAAAAAAAACCTTTTAGAAACGTCAAGGTGGTTTATTATTAGAATAAAAAAATTCACTCAAGAAAATATTAAAATTATTTTGAATACTCATAAAATGAGTGAGTAAAAATAAATGTATGCTTCTTTAATACCAATCCTTGACTTAAAATTGCCAGCAAAAAGGAGAAAATTATTGTTTGAAGTTTGAACGTTTTTGTTGGTTGAAAGAATAATTTGAACTGTTGCATGTAACTTCAACTTTTTCTCTATTAATCTATATATATGAGAGCGACTATGATCCAGTTGACTAAATGGTTCAGTCAATAATTACAGCCGTTACATGAAATAAATCATCTATCACCGTAAGATCAGATGGGGTGCATTGTAAAAGAAATAAGACCTAGCCACATAGGATAAATTCCCATGAATTGTGCCTAGCATTTTTGTCCCAAAATTTCATCAACGCCTAGATTCCTATCACAAACAAATAACATATATATTTCTTCGTCAACTCTAATCTTCTTCTTAAAAAGCTGACTTACTCCTATAAAATTTGTAACTGATTTTTTTCATGAGAGATATGTATTTAGGTTCCATCCCGAGTATTTGAGTCAGCTATTGTGTGATTGTGTCTCCGAACAATTGGCTAAAGTGGAATTCTTTTCAGTTTGCCTGGTGTAGGCTATATTTTTCTGGATTTGAGATCACTATTCATATCAAAATTTTGAATTTTAATGTAAATTAGAATTTGGTTGGGCATGTATCACGTATGACTATGCTAAGAAAATTTAAAGACTTTTAGATCATAGTATAAGAAAACTTATTTGATTAAACAAAATTCTTCACCGAGGCATTCAGATTCCGGCAAAGCATTAATTATTTTCGATCCTTATATCTTCTTGTTCTTCTTTGTCTTTCAATTATCAAGTATTATTCAATTTCTCAAGAATTACCAACTTCTTCTAACTTAATCGGGGTTTCGACTGCAACTGCGACTTGTCTTACGAGCAAATCCCTTATTTGTGTATTCTCCGGAGATCGAGTTTAAATCTGAATCGAACTAACACGATTGAACTCGGTTAAACAACTTTACACCCATGTCAACCCGAAACAAATTGACCTAAATGCTTACATATTGAAAATCTATGTTGTGCGATGAGTAATAATGTGCAAATTGAGAGGGATAAAACATATGAATCCTTTATGTTATAAATAAATATTTAGTTAATTTGTTTCTTGTTCAATTTTTTGCTAAGAAGAACGTAACTGGAAATTATTTTTGCAACCGCAACTTAACTGGATTAACTAAGTAATATTGTTATAGCAGAAGCTGCAATGTATGAACAAAACAATGTCCATTGAGAGCTCTAGTAGGAAGCATCATAATTTGTAGTCGACGATGAAGACTAATAATGATCTAAGTGGGTTCGTATTGTCGTAAGAAAAGCTGCAACATTGGAGAAGAAGGCAATGTGACGATGGTTTTGATGAGAGATTTACCGAAAATGCATTTTTGCTGAGATCTTCGGTATGTTTTTCTTTCAATTTGAAAAGATTTCTTTCCGTGAGCAATCACTTTTGGCTTGTTTGTCAAATAACAATTTGACGAGATGGAAAAGTTTCAACTTCGACTGCAACGACTTCAGGATGTATTGCCGAGACAAGAGAGAGGAACACGCATCAGATGTTTCACTAAGGGATTGTGAGAAATTAGTTTTACAAAATCAGAAAGAAAACAAGGAAAAAACTCAGTCGTAGCTTCGATAAGACTTCTGAAACAACAAAAATTTTGTCAGAGAAACAGGTGCTAAGTGCTAATGGTGCCTGGAGTTCGTTGTAAATTTCGAATGGGGATGATGAGTACGACAATGAAAGTGATGGTGAAATGCCGACTTTTTTTTAAGGTTCCCATCTCATAAAAGTTAAAAGCAAAATTTATTCGTTCAAGAAAATGTTATGGAATGGATCAGATTGATTTCTGTTACTACCTTTTCATAGTTAATTTAATTTTGTCTAGGTAATGTAAAATAAATGTCCTAGTAAATTATATGATCACCAGGTAAATGATATAATCGCGATTTATTAAAATGTATCTCACCCCATACTCCTATATGATGTGTTAAATTTTGATTGGATTGGCAAAAACTAAATGTTTCAGTCAAAATCTTATGACTGGACAATAGAATTTTACTATATATATATATAACACTAAGGCAAAGTCCAGAAAGAGAAAGCCTATGACAATTTCCTTATGCCATATAGGATTTAATCCTATGTGTTTTCTTAGACATTTTCATTTTTAAAAAGGAAAAACATGGTAAATTCTTAAATTACGAACTATATAATGGATTAACCTTCACTGATTCAGATTGATCTCTGTACAAATCTTCAATTGTGATACGGGAAATCATGTCTTAACAAAAAATGAAAGAATTTGAGTTAGATATAGATTATTAATTGGAGATCAAATCCTATCTTATCGCAGAGAAATCTTGAAGATGTATTCTAAAAATATAGCTAACGGTGGAATAAAAACCCTAATCGACGATTGATCCTAAACATCGAACATGTATAATCCTTATTCCTGATTCAATTCATATTCTTTTTTTTTTTTTGACGCAAGATTAATTTTTTTAAGAAATTTTTTTTTTTGGGTAATCCGGAAACAACACCATCATGATTGGTGCAACATTTTTTTTTCTTTTCTTTAGATTTGCTTTCGCCGGTAATGATGACATGAATGAAGATTATGCCAATCACCCACCAGGCATGAGTCAATTCATGAAGAAACAGAAGCTATGATACATGTATCATTAAATTCTAAATTTAAAATTTCTGAAAGTGGATGATGTTAATAACTTAATATAATAAATAAACGAGTAAAAAGTTCATAAAATAAGTTAAGAATTACTTTAATCGACTTGAGAAAGACTATATGCAGAAAAAAAACAAAGAAAAAGGAAACAGTTAAATCACATCATTAACAGGAAAAATACTCGAACAATTAGCTTGTCATTAAAAAAAAATCTCTGAAACTGGATAAAATTTAGAAAAAATAAATGACAATCTCCAATAAAGAGCTATTATGACACTTGTGCGTGAAAATAATAAATAATTATATGTTGTCCGTTACAGATGAAAGGAAGCTTTTATAATTAAGTTTAGATAACATATGAAATTCAAAAAGCTGTTGTAAGTACGAAAGAAGACATGTTCACTCCCTATTTTCTCATAAATATGAATTTGATTGTGGTGTAAATAAATGTTTTAGCCCGACTCAACACAATATCAAGGTCAAAATAGGTTTCCTGATAACATTGTTTAGAAATGTAACCATTGAGCTAGACTGTATGATGGCACAAAATTTCGAGTTTCGATGATGGAAAACCGTAACATTTAAGCAAAGGTGATATCTGCCAGCAATCTGGGTGATACTGTATACATAATATGTTACTTTGTACATTTGATACTAAATATCCTTTCAAAACGAAAAAATAAAAAATAAAAATCTTTTTGCCAGTCTAGAGTATCTCGTGACGCTCAGTTTTTCGTCATGTGAAGGTATATGTTGCCTTATCAAGAGTTATTTTGATACAAAAAATAAATATTTTAATATGTGTTCAAAATGGTAATATCAACAACAAGAACATAAATTTAGCTTGTAAAGAAGTGAATGTGACTATGCAATTCGAGGTGAGTTACTTATTTTTGTTTCTCTTATTTTAATTTGATGTTTAAATAAAGTTTTACGATATTTTAATAGGATAAACTGTATTTTTGTTTTTCTATATTCTGTTTTATTGTTTTAAAGAAAATATTATTATAAAGGAAGTAATACATCATCTCACTTTCTTATTTTATAATTTCTCTTTTAATTTATTTGCCTCGTCCAACGGACGGGTTTAACATCTAGTGTTTCTCTTAAAGAGAAAAAATAGATTAATCAATATTATTAACGGTAAACACCTATAGAGAAAAACAGAATATGGATTCATTAAAATAATTTAAAATTTTGTTTGATTTCTTTCTCTTTCTTTTTTTTCTATTTGACATTCCGAATAAGTTGAAATTTAAAAAAAAAAATTTCCTTCTCTCAGATACAGAGTGATAGTAGTTAATAAATAATCAGAGGCTGAAATAAAAATTAATAAAACGCATTTATCATCCTACGATCAATTAAACCAAAAAAAAAGAGTTAAAAGGGATAATAAAACATAAAACTTGAAAGTACCAAATTAAATAATACTAGTAATAATTAAAAGTTAAAAACTTTTTTGTGAATTCGGACAAACAACGTGGGTATGAATGTCATTTAAGCACCTGATCCTTCTACCAATATATCTGAGTCTCCCCCTATATAAGCCCTCCGCTACAAAATCTAGGGTATAAAAGGCCCCAATCCATCTCCCTCTCTCCCCAACCGAAGCTCCTCTCGCTCTTCTTCTCTCTCAGTTTCTTCCAAACTTCGACGCCTCACAGTTCCTTTCTTCTCAACCTCCTTCAATCGTAATTTCCCTTTCTCTCTCACATACTCACACACTACGCCTCTTTGTTTGTGGATCTCGATTTCGATCGATTTACCGCTGTTCTGTTAATTGATGCATCTTAGAGTTTATGAAATCGAAAGGAAATTTGTATTTCTGTTTGTAATTTTACTGTGTTTACGTGTTACTGATTTTTTTTGGTGAATCTCGAACAGGAAAAAAAGACCCGATATGGCCACGTTTGAGTTGTATCGCAGGTCGACGATCGGGATGTGCTTGACGGAAACACTGGATGAGATGGTTTCGAATGGAATATTGAGCCCCGAGCTTGCTATCCAAGTACTTGTTCAATTTGACAAGGTTCGTGTTCGCGCCAGTTATTATTTTCATCCCATGTTTAATGTAGAGCTGGGTAGTTTAGTGCGAATCTTTGGATTTGCTGGTCTCTGTTGTTTTAATGTCTGATTATTTTGTTAAATTCCTGGCAGTCGATGACTGAGGCTCTTGAAACTCAAGTGAAGAGCAAAGTTTCGATCAAGGTAAAGATATACATATGTCATTGGATTTGGTTTGGATAGATTGTTCAAGTTTTGGTCCTTTCTATTGGATGCATAATTTACTGTATATAGCTGGTCATTGCTTATAGCTATCCTGTTTGTCTGGCCTGTCTAGATTGGCCTATCTCATTAGTTAAATGAGAATGATTGATTGTTAAGATTTTTGTTTATTTATTTAATTCTGGATCTAAATTACTTCTGGACTTTCTAGATTTATTCTGTTAGCAACTATAAAAAGCAAAGTGGTAAATTCGTGGTTCGTTGATGGGTGAGTTTTCATTAATTTCCCAAAATCTAATACTCTGGGGTGGAGGAGAAATTTTGCTCTGTTCCTTGCATTATTTTATTGTGTTCTCCTTGGGAACGCTGTGGTTGGATTCGTTGCTGATTTTGCAGCAACAGGAAGTAGCATAATTTCTATTATGTGTATATGATAGATGTATGTGGGTGTGTTCCTCGCTGTGGGTCTAGTTTCCTTGGGTTATGTGTGGTTCACTAATATCCTACTGCTTTTCCTTAGGTATTAAACTCTTTTCAGAAGCTCGCTTTTGTCACGTGCTTTTACCCTATTGTTGAAATACTAGCTCTCCTTTCATCAAGTATGGAAATTCATGGCTGGCACATCTGCACTCATAATTTGATTGTTAAACTCAGATTTCTGAAACATATTCAAAATGCTGCACAGGTTTAAGATCATAGTCAGCCATTCAATTTGACAATATTAGTTAGGTGAATCCTCTTTGGTTTTTGGAGGGCTGTAGAGCATTTGGTTTATTCTAGATTGATTAGTTCTTTAATTCCTGGTGTTAGAGATGGATTCTCTTAAAAAGTTCTCCAATTATCACATTATATTCTTCATCTTCCGAGAAGTATTATGATGTAATCATTTGTGAGTTGTGGCTTTGCATTCTTGAACGTGGATGTATTTCTTATTGTCCTATGTCATGTCAATTTGCACTTGCATATAGCTAAGATATTGGTCTGAGATTTTGTTATCATTTTCGATTCCACCTGCTTTTATCTACTGGGGTGTGTCTACAATAGATCCTCCATGCTCTTTTTGGTCACAAAGATGGATGAATAATGGGATTTTGGCTCAATATGTGGTTATAGATGGGAAGTTAGTGGTGAGTTGTAAATGACTAGTGTAACAGTAATAATAATTAGCTTGAGATTTAACAATCATTCTCTTATTGTTATATTTATCTTGAGATCATCCACAATCAAAGCTGGCTACTTCTTTGAAAGTTTCGTTCTATCTACTTCTTTGGAACTATAGCTGACTCCGTATGCTATTTGGAATGTTCCCTTGACAGTTATGGCATTAGATTGATGTTCCTGATTGTTGCTTAAGATCATTCAAGTTCTTGGCAGATCTTTTGTTGCCATCCATTCATTTATGTAGCAGATTGGCCAAGGCTGTTGTGTACCATTCACTATTTACTTGCTCACTCCCGTATTTTACCTGTCTTTCCAACAGGGACATCTTCATACCTACAGATTCTGTGACAATGTGTGGACTTTCATCTTACAAGATGCTGTTTTCAAGAGTGATGAATGTCAGGAAAACGTTAGCCGGGTGAAGATAGTGGCATGTGACTCAAAGCTGCTCACGCAGTGAGAGATCTTCTTTTGCAGGCGACATTGGTTGGTTTTATAGCTGCTGATATTAGTTCGGTAGATGGAGAACAGAGACTGTGAGAGGAGTCGGAAGAAGAATGGAAACTCATGCTTAGTTGTAATTTTTATGTGACAGCGAAAATTGGAACCGTTCTGTATAATCCTTCTAGACGCTGATGGTTGTATTTCATATGAATGTTTTGACATCTATACTGGACAGCCGCCTATTCATTTTCAGTTTTGTCATTACTGAGAGTTTGTTGGGACTGATCTCGTCACCTTTTGTGGCTAAAACTAATGCATATTCCTGTACATTAGATCTATTTGCTTTGTTGTTGAGAAATGACGGGAAAACTGTTCGACAGAAACACCACTTTTTTATTTGAGTTTTCTTTCCCTTTCCTCAAGTTCACTGTTCTACCACATTTATGCAATTAAGCTTATTGGTTTAGCTTACTTGTTAAAGCCACTGTGATGGATGGGAAATGTTCAAATTGACGTAGGAAACCACATCTGATTAGATTAATCTGTGAGTTTATGTTACGTTACTTTGATGAGGTTGTCCAAATGGGCTGTAAAGAAAATTGTTTTGTCCCATTCTTGCCTTTTCCACCTGACTTGTATCGTCTGATAAGGAGCTCAGGAACTAAGGGCAACTTCACTGGAAAAAGTAAAAACTACCCGCAATGTGTATCTCTTTTGTAAATTGTGCGAAAATTACGTCCGCAAGTCACTATGCATTTTCCTTTAAAAAAAAATTGGGAGAATTATTATTAAGGGCATAGAAAAAACTTAAATTATTAAAAAGGGCTTGTCTTTTATTACTATAACAGAAAATACTTCTATTGCTAATTCAATTACTAAAATGACGACTCTATCCTTCTCGCTAAAAGAAATAATTCCTTCGTGTTGCCTGTTCGTCTCCCCTCACCGAGTTGTCTTCCCTTTTCACCGCCGCCACTCCAGTAGCCACATTTCCATAAACTCACTTGGAATTTGTTTTGTTTAATTAATAATTACTTTATTCGTGAATCTGCTTTGTTTTATTTTATTTTCATCGAAGGCTCTCTATTTTTTTTCGATGAGTTGGTTCCACAACGGAGATGAGTTTATTTTTCTTTCTTTCTTTCTTTCTATTTTAGGTCACATTGAATTTAGTTGGTGCCGTGATTATGAGAACATAGAGGGGTGTTGAAGAAGAGGGTTTAGATGAAACATGAGTGTTGTTGCTTATGGATTCAAGCCACACAAAAAAAAAAAAGAAAAAAGAAAAAATTTATTCATGCAGCTATATAGAGGTTATTTCTAATCTATGATAAAATAATTAAGAAAAACTGGGTAAAAACTGCGTGGCTGCTGGAGCTCTAAAATTCAATAACATATGGAGAAGGAAGTAGTAGTCTTTTTATATTGAAGACATATTAAAAATGCTTTTAATGCTAGTTGAAAAATCAACGTGCTTAATAATAATTTTTGTTTTTCTTATGTCAGATGTTGGATTTAAGTAATGAATTTATTTCTTGAATGCAACATTGATCCCTCCACTTTCTCTACTTAACGTGGGAATCAAATTGAAAATGCTCTTAGAAGTTCTAAGCTTAAGCTCCTTCCTTAACAAACAAAACTATTCATGTCGGCTCCTGTGTACTCGATAAGTCCTTTAAATAAACACGAAGATTAAAAAAAATTTTGAGTTATATAGTTTAAATAGTTAGTTTTGAGTAATTCACTTAATATCTCTATTAATGACTAATGGTTACCAGTTAATACGGTAAAATTGAGAGATACATTTAATTAAATGTTTTATATTTCAACGACAATAGTAGTGTCGACAAGAGAATTCATAGATAAAATAAATTTTAATGTTTTAAGTGGGATTGAATTTTGAAAAGGTTATGTTAATTGTCGCTCTCCTAAATCCTAGATAGCACCCCCTTTGGACGAATTTGCCTCCGTCATAAAACTAACACATACAAACTATCTTCTTCCACCTCTCAAAATTCCCTCAACTCTAAACAAAAAATAAAAATATTTCTTCAATTCAGAGGCCTCAACAACGAATTATTAAACGGGTTTTGGTGGAGACAAAAATCCATGGACAAATAAAATAATATTTCTTGTTATAAATATTTAATGTGGATATCCACAAGTCAGAAGAGTTATACAAGGAATCAACTGTTCAGAGATAATATTTAATTAGATATTATCATTATTTATTCTTATCCTTGTATCAATTTACTCTATAAAAGGAGAGCAGTCTCTGCAGAAATAATACAGATCAATCATTTCTTTCCCTCTCTCAACTTGTTCTCTCTCTCTTTATTGTTCTTTTTTTACAGTTCTTTATATTTATTTTATAATACGTTAGCACGAGTCCCTATCCAACTGAGAAGATTTTAATCCGTATATCTGGGAGTGCGGTTGACCGTAGATCAGGGAGTGCGGTAAGTTTTTTTTGTTTTGTAAATACTTGATACAACTAAGTGCTCCTCTAGTAGCCTTTTCTATTATAGATTTCTTATATATTGAATTTGCTCCATTAGCAGCAATTTCATGAAAATATTCAAAGAGATTTTCTTCACTTCCTAAAGCAAGTGAATTTGAATATGTTCAAATATCATAGTCATGTAAACTGACCACTTGAAGTGGTAAATATGAATAAACACAGAGGATAATGATTGAGCCTGTCAGTCAAGACAAATTATGTGAACATTACGAACCACCAGAAATTGGAAATTAGTGATAACTATTTTTCAAACATTTTCAATGATTTGATGAATTTATATTGACGAGATTTTTTTATTCATAAGTATAACGTCGAATTACTCCTAAAGTAGCAGTTTATTATTTTTTTTTAAATTTACTAATATGATTTTGTTAAGGGAAGTCACGAAACCCCTTAATTTGATAATTTCTCACTTCTTGAAGTAAGTGGAGAATTACTTTTGCAAGTCAAGTTGCAAATAGTAAATCTTATATAACAATACGAAGATCACATAAAATATGATTTTTCACCCGAAGTGGAAGATTAGTAACAAAGAAAATTAAGGAATCGCTCCTGATGTAGCAATTCGTTTTCTTGTTACTATTAAATAAACTATTGAGTTTTTCTTTGTTGAAAAATTATTAGACTTGTCCAGATTGGACTACTGCATTTCCTGAAGTGGATGCTATTATCAGAAACTTAATAGTGGACAAATTAAAGTCCCAAATATAATTGAGAATTGGTAATGATATGAAAATAGTTCTAATCACCAGAAGTTATAGATTTTACTGAAATAAAATAATCCGCCTGAAGTGGAAAGTTAAAGAGAGCAAAAGGGTAAAAGATAAAAAGTACTATTGTTATAGCATAAAAAATCATCAAATACCTACTTTATGCTAAAAACATATTGTTACTCTCTATCATAACTAAAAAATTATTTATGTTAACAAAAGTGTTAGCGATATTATCAAGAATGTTAGTTATATGTTCTCCCTGAAGGTGAACAAATCAAGAATCATAACTATTTATTGACGATCACTCTGAAGGTGATATTGGTTATCTGTTCATAATGAAAACATGTGGCGGTGATTTATTTTATATTTTAGATTAGTTTTTTATTATATACCTCATCGCATACTTTATTATTCCTTATGATTTATGAGTTCAGGCAATGACATCATTCCTTTGTTAGAACAAAATTGATTTAATGCTTCGGTAAAGCATATGTATGAATTTTTTCACAAAATTGGACAAAATCTCAAGAAGAGCAGAACTTGCTATGGCAAAAGACAATATTGTGAATGCTCCCTAACTATTAGGAATATGTAAGTACATTTCTCCATAAATAAAATTGGATGAAATCTCATGTAGAACGTCAGTTATATAATACTTTATATATATACTCCAAAAGAGTAAGAATATTTTGGTAGAACGAAAATTAGAGATTAAACAATACTCCTGTAGAGTAAATAAAACTCCATTAGAGTAAATACTCTTATGAAGAAGGGTTGTTTCGACATGGTTGAATAATTAGTTCTTTATTATCTCCAGAAGAGAATTTTTGAATTTGGCTCTCGAAGAGTAAATAAAATGACCAAATAATTTTGCACCAATGTCAAAAGAATTGGAAAAAAGATTTTTGAATATCAGAATATTGTTATCATATATGTGTACAATAAGAATACAGTTTCCAGAAGGAAAAAAAATATCTTTGTATTCTTTTGTGTTAAAACACTATACATGTATTACTATCCTTGAGTTTTATAGTAAATTCAAAGTTTTACTAGGGAACTAAAAGTTCACTTCTTATACTAACAAGTCAAACCAGAAAGTTTACTGATTATTATAAGTTTATACATTTGACATAACTAAGTTCATGTGTTTTTAATTTGGAGAACCAGGAGTTTTTTCCAACAAATTAACTGATATGCTAAAAGATTGCCATTTGTATGCTTGTCATTAACTTGCAACATGGAGTTTGTGAAAGTTAATTATCGACTTCAATTTAGTTATATGTGTAATTTCATATTCTTCTATGAGAGAATTTTGATTTGATAGTTCTGATGCATGTATGACTCAATACAAGGATAAATGTTTCAACGATAAAACTTGAACATACAATGCCTATACAACCAAAAGTGAAACGGTCCCGTAGAATCGTTCATTAAATGTGTTCAAAAGGAAAGTAAGCACCCCATATATACAATTGAAGACGTGTTGAAACATAGAAAACATCAATCCAAATGTGTTATTACAAAAATTCTCCTATACATTGGTTTTGGTCAGAAACCATACATGTCCATCTGTAAAATTCAGATGTGCGATTTATATTATTTGCTCCACCACAATGCACACAAAGATGGAGACCCTGAAGAGGTTAAGAATATATACTAGATTTTGAACCTCCAGCCTTTGGGTTATTGATGTTGGGTTTTACTATTCGATTGGCTCATTGTCTGTTTGACGAGTTAGTTACTCAAAAAAAGAAATCAATTTACTACTCGATTAGCTCACTATCAGTTTGACTTCCTAACATCAGGGGAAGAAAGTGAAAATAGCCAATTCATAAATCAAATGGGCGATATCATTATATTAGATCCTCGATAGCATGAATTTGAAGTTCAAGAGATAATGTTTAAGACCAGATATTTGACTGACCAAGGGCTGTTAAAGTTTAAAGTTTGATATTGTGTTCCTGAAGAACCATCTACCACTATTCTTCAATTGAATGTCCATTTGATGAGTGGTAGAACCATCGATTCCAATAATAATAAATTTCCGTAAATGAGAATGTCTAAATCGATAGAGATGGCAAATACGAGTGATTACAATCCTGAAGAATCTTTAAAATTAAAGGATTTTCCAATAGTGAATATAAACTTCCAGAAGAAGAACAAAAATATTTGGAAAACTTAATGATTGTAAGATCTCAA